TGCGGTCGTGCCTGTGGGGGCTGTGAGTCTCGACGTCCTGGACGGCCTCCACGCTGACGGGAATACCCTTGCGACCCACTGCGGCCACGCCCTCGCGCCCGCTGCACCCCTGGTCCGCCGCGACCCTCGGAGCGTGACCTGGCCGCTCCCTCGAGGTGCTCTGCGGTAAGCCTGAACATCGGCCGTGCACGGGGCTGGGACGTGGGTGGCGAGGTGTCGTCGCAGCTCCTCAAAGGACTCGAAGGGCTCGCCCCTTGAGCAATAGTAAGCTGCGTCATGGCCACCGCGGAGGGACGCCGTTGTAATGATGGACAGAGGGCACTGCAGGGACATGGGGGCCTCCAGAGGGTGCTGATATACGGTGACTAGCGGGCACTTCCTGTTGAGGACGGCGCGCAACGTATGTTCCTGGGCGATCCTTCGAGTTCTGAACGTTTGTTGGCAGTAAATGCACGAGTTCGCCACAGTTATCGAATGCACAATAGACCTATACGAATGCCCACCTGCCCGAGAGAACCGTTGATGAGCCAGTAGGGCCCCTCGCGTTTTGAAGACACATCCACACACATGACCAGTACTGTCGGCAATATCACAAACCCAATGACACGGTAGTGGTGGAGGAGCGGGGTCGTCGAGGTCAGCAGGAGCAGGGGCAGGAGCGTAGAGGCCTGGTGGAGGTGGTATGGCCACTGCCTTGGCCGCGGCCCGCAGGACACTAGGGTCCAGTCGTAGGAGCCGATCTCGTACCTCTGGGTCCTCGAAGAGCGCCCGTATGTTGAGCCTGAGGGGGTCTGGTGTTGGGGCCTCGCACACGAACAGGGAGTCCAGGAGGTCGTTTTCTTCAGATCGACGCAGCAGACGGATGACATCGACTGCGAAGCGCCACGCATATGGATTGGCAGACTCGGCCAGCGAGCCGTCTGCCGTGAGCGTCGGACACGCCTCCACAGGCAGTTGCCCAAATACTGCAGCCACCTCCTGTGCATGCCGCTCGGGAAGGAGAATCCACCGACGATGCATCCGAAGTCGGCGCACTCGCAGCTCGGTGCCGCATGGTGCGATGCCAATGCGACGAAAGACACACTCGTCCGAGTCAGCTTTGTACTGTAACTGCGGGCTGCCGTCGGGTGCTAGCAGCGGAGTGCCTAGAGCTGCATCGAGAACTGGGATCTTCTTGCAGGCGCCACCCCCGAGAATTTTACGTGCGAAGCCCGCGAGAACCCTATCAAGAGCTCTCTCCTGCGTCGCCGTTAATATCTGCGTCGTTAAGCCCGTAAGGAGACCACCCTGGACCACCGCCCCAAAGACCGTCCGAGTAAATTTCCAGACACGATTGCGAGCCCAGAACCGTCCCATAGAATAGTACCCTCGTCGACACGCTAGAATCCTCCTCCTGATCTCCACCTGAGTCCCACCGTTTACTGCACTCGAGATCCCCAAAATAATACTGTCGAAAACCACCTTGTCTGCAACTGGAACTTCCCCTGTAAACATGGCCCTGGAGTAGACCTGGGAGCCAGCTCCTACAAAAGACGGCGACACCTGGCTCTTGTCCGCGTTATGTTCGTACCCTCCTTCCTCCTTTAAAGCCTCTCTGAGCCTTTGGCGTGATATGTCCAGCACGTGCTGGGCGCTCAATGCAGAGGCCACCACGTGGGTAGCGCTAGTGTCGTCGGCGTAGATCCGACAGGCCAGCGGCGCAGGGCGATGGATGAACGGCGCCCATGCTGCACAGAGGTCCTCGGACGGCCATACAAAGTCATCAGCTCGAGCGGGAGGGTGAGGTGGGGCCAGCGGGTGACTGATCCATTCGTCGCACGTCGTAGGGCGAGGTGGAGGAGAAAGCTGACCCCAAGAATACTGTCGCATAGAGTCCAACCACATCTGCACTGGTCGGCGGAAGGTACGGGCAAAAAAGACTGCTGCTGGGGTATCTCCCATGAATGCTCCGCACCTGTTACGCAATACTTGCTCCCCGTCCGATGCGGGTATCATAAACGTGCTGAGATGGTGCCTCTGCGTGAAATAGACTTGGGACTCCTCTTTGATCGACGCCTCGACTGTACGCTGGAGGGCCTCGAACGACGTGCACCCGAACGCATTAGACATATCCTCTTTGGAAGCGACCGAAGAAATACCTAAACGACGAAGACGCCAGTGGAGGGCCTCTTGACAGATAATAGCCCCTTCCCCGTTGCGCCCTGGGAGATATCCGTGTTCTCTATCGGGGACCTGGTCGGAGGGGCCCTCTTGTAGTTGGGCCTTGTACCACAGAACTCCGAGACGACATAACCCGTGCACATATCGTTTCGCACTGAACCCAAGCTTACCGTTCATTTTACTAAGTCTAGTTGCCCGAGAATGATGCCACACCAGCGGGGTCCGTCGGACCCGTCGTATGCGATGAAATATGCGCTGGAGGCCTCTGAGGGCGCCCTCGTTGGAGATCTCCTCGGGGACAGAACCAAGACCACGCCGATCACGCCCAAGACGGTGCCGTGGAGGGGCCCGCTCAGGGCCATCATGCGCATCGTCGCCAGCATCGTTCTGGCGTCGTCGATGGGAGCCGTCGAACCTCCCCGCGGGGTCGGCCGCGAGCATCAAAATCTCTGTCGGTACACTGTGCAAGGGCGCCGCCTTCCGTCTGGGGGCGCGCTCCAGTAAACCGACAACTCGGGCGAGATCCTCTCGCCCTTGCTCAGCCGCGAGGTAGTTGTCAGCGGAGACTGGCGGCGGAGCGGGGAGATCCTGGAGCTGCTCGTCCCGAAAGGCGGCGAAGCTGTCCACTGGGAGAGCGCGAAACCCGCCAGCGGGTCCATCACGCGCGAAATACTCACGTACCTCCTCGGCCCTGGGGACAAACTCGGTGGAGAGGTTATACCGACGTTTACGTGGTCCTTGACGCTGCCCCGCCAGGAGGTGGGCCAGTCTCCAGACCTCGGCGTGTCGTTGTTCTTTCCAGGCCTCACGGATTTCGGTCACGAGCTGCTCGGAGACTGCAAGAAGTCGGGCCCTCCGAAGCTGACGAAGGTGCCGTGAAATTCTGGCGAGGGCCATCGCCGTCGGCACGTCGTCGTCCCCGATGGATCTCTGATGCCTTCTGAGAGCAAGCAACCTCCTACGTTCTGCAGCATATCGTTGAGCCTGGGGGTCCTTTGTCGAGCCCTTCCCGAAATGCCGTTCTCCTACCTGATACACCGTCGAGATCCACCGCTGCCAGGCGCCGTCAGGTGCCGTCGCTGTCTCTAGGAAATCTTGCCAGTCAGACTGCCCCGCAAAGGCCTCCTCAAGGTCTCTCATGAATCCCAAGACACCAGTGCCATGCCGTAATGCTTGCGCGAGCGCATCGTAATCCCAACGGGCTCCCTCGGGTCTGGACCACGACATGTCGAAGCTGTGCGAAGTGGACAACAGTATGGGAATATGATCCTGGAGCCCTCTCTTAGCGATCAGCTTCAAGCGAAGGTTCGATCGACGTAGGCCACGACAATCTAGGATGAGAGACCTCTGCCACTGAAAAACTGCAACATGATCAATCGAACTCGAACCTCGATGTCCGAAGAATGTGTCTCCGACGGGGAAGTCCATCGAGGGGAAACATATGCCGTGCTTCTCACAGAGCTCCTGAACACGATCCCCTGCATAACGTTGCTCACCTCTACCGTATTCACCGAACACCTCGGACTCGATGGGGACTACAAGAGGGCCTGGCTGTCGTCGTTGCCCGAGGGAGTCGTTGAGATCCATACCCCAGAACAACGTGGACCGTGCCCGAGCCCAAGTGAAACTTTGTTCCAACCACGTGCACATAGAGTCGACCGTACTGCGATACTTCCTGAACGGGCTCTCGACGGATTCTCTGCCCTCTCGTCGTTGCGATGGGCGGGGAGGGAAGTAGGTTAGCGGCACCAACACGTCGAATCTGCCTGAGCGGATCCTGTGGAGGGCTACACGCCCTTGGAGATGTCGAGGCGGGGGAGGGGAGTCGACCACATGCTTCTCTCGAAACTTTTGTCGTCGGAGCAGGAGCGCCAGTCCGCATGCCTTGTTTACATGTCGTCCTGGCACAAATCCATGTCGAATTGCGAAATGGTGAGGCAGCTGACAGACGGTGCTCAGCTGTTCTCCTGCTCGCTCACCTGTGCCAGAAATAGCGATGATATCTACATTGCGAAGCTCCTCGGATATATCACAAAGTCGAGTCGTATCTGCAGCCTCACAATTCCAGTGCACGAATGTTATGCGATCAATCCCGCCACTCGACATGACAAGATGAAGCACCGTGCACAGCTTACGCCAACAAGCGCAAGACGAGAACATACATGGCTGCACGACTGCCGTGGGGGGGCGGCCCTGGCGCGAGTGCGGTATGCAGGTGTGCTGGAGTTCCTGGCCCCCAGTGCAGACACCTGAGCGCGCGGGGGGCTGGAGAGGAGGAGGAGGAGGAGGAGGAGGAGGAGGAGGAGGAGGAGGAGGAGGAGGAGGAGAGAGAGAGTGAGAGAGAGAGAGGACGAGCGCGAATTCAGCATGGATGGCGAACTGCAGCAGCCGCAGCGCCGCGGCGCCGCGCCGTCGGACGGTGACCCGCGGCGCCGCCGGCGATGGCGCCCTCCAAGCGCGGGGCGGTGGGCGCCAGGGCCGAGTGGCCGCCACCTACTGCGCGGAGGCGGGGGGGCCGCCACCGCCCAGCTCGGCTTGCGGGGCGGGCAAGGAAAACCCAGCGGACCCTCATCCTCCTCCGCCTCCTCCTCCGCCTCCTCCTCCGCCTCCTCGCTCCTCGCTCCTCGCTCCTCGCTCCTCGCTCCTCGCTCCTCGCTCCTCGCTCCTCCTCCTCCTCGCTCCTCGCTCCTCCTCCTCCTCCTCCTCCTCCTCCTCCTCCTCCTCCTCCTCCTCCTCCTCCGCCAGGCGCCGCTCTCGCACCTGAATCTCAGAGGATCCCCAGTGGCGGGGAGAGACCCTGAATGGCCGTGCCCTGCATCATCCGACCGTATCGCTCCCCTCCCCCGCCCCACCCAGACGCAAACGATGTGAATGAACGATCCTGCTGGCACGGCTGTCGCGGGGCCGCGGGCGGGAAAGAAGGAGCTGCGCTGCTCGGCGCAGGCGTCCCGCGGGCTCGCCCCGGAAGCAGAAGAGGCAGAGGAGGGGAAGAGGGGGAGGGCGAAGCAGAGGGAGGAGTGGGAGCAAACCACCCAGAGCAAGAGAGACTCTGGGTATGTAACGGCCTGTCGCAGGCATCCCCTCTGCTTTGCAATCGGCAGAGAGAGGAGCGCGATTCACGAGTCAGCGAGCCACAGTGGGTTCCGCTGAGGTCCACTAAAAAAGGGGCGATCATGCTGGCGAGCGCCGCGCAGCCATCCATGAGATGCAGCTACGGCACCACACTGACGGAGCTCTGCGTAGCCATGCCACCCTGCGCTACCTCCTCTCGGCGGTGGACAAACCTCCCTTTAGTAAACCTCCCCTTAGTGAAAACGGCCTGGGACCGAAACCCACGGACCTGGACCCGCAAACATGACGGCCGCGACGCCCTCTCGCGAACCGAATACGGCCAATTCCTCAATCGACGTGTCAGGGTAGGAGGTCCATCAACCTCCGAATCTCTTCCCCGTCCTCCTTCTAACCGCCCTCCTCTGCCCCCCCCCTCCGCCCCGCAGCAGCCAGGACCCCCACGGCCTCAAGGGCCGCACGCGCCCTCGCACGACTTCCGCCGCGTGCGCACCCCCGAGCGCCTCCGCCCCGCGGCGACGGGCTCCCGGGGCCCCCGGGCGTCCGAGCCCGCGTCGTCGGGGTCGCCGTCCAGGTTGGCGGTGATGAAGTGCTTGCGGAACTCGGGGAAGGTCACCCCGTCCCTGCCGTTCAGCAGCTTCTCCGCGACGCCCCCTTCCACGGGCTGCTCCCGCAGGTAGTCGGAGGCGAACATCTGCTCCAGGTCCCTCTTGCCCAGTCTGCCGTCGCCATCTTTGTCGGCCCTCTTGAACATCCGCTCCAGATCCTGATCCATGCTGCAACTGCCTAAGTGAAGGCAGCTGGCAACAAACTCCGTCCACTCCACGACACCATTTTTCTTATAGTCCATGGCAGCCGCTGACCTCTTAGCATCAACAGGGTCGAACTTGAGCTGTAGCAGGACTTTCTCCACCTGCGAGACGGCCAGTCGGCCAGAGTTGTTCTTGTCGAACTTCTCGAACGCACTCTTGATGGAGCCCAGCCGGTTCGCAGACCACTCGCTTGCAAAGCGCAGGGCGAGGCTTCTGTACAGCGGGTCCTTGCTGGCCACCTTCTTCATCCTCGAGGCCACTTTCGGGTCGATCACGACGCCGCCGTCGGCCCCCGGGCTGCGGCCGCCATCGCCATCGCTGAGGTCGTCCTGCGGCTGGCTCAGGTAGCCGTGCTCGAGGCACTGGGAGGCGGCGGGGCGGTCTTGCCGGCACACGGCCAGCATGGACCTGCAGAGCTGCTGGCCGAGCTCGCCGTGCGGCATCCTGTCGGGGAGCGGCTGAGGCTGCGGCGGCCTGGCCCAGAAGTCGAGCGCGGCGGTGGTCGTGTCGCCGCTCACGTTGTAGGGATACTTGAACGACATCAGGTTGTAGAGGATGCAGCCGCAGCTGAACACGTCCGCCGGCGGCGTCACGATGCCCTCCCAGACCTCGGGGGCCATCGTCAGCACCGTGCCGGCCCGCGGGCCGTAGCGGGACCAGGGCCCGAAGAGCCGCGAGAGCCCGAAGTCGATGAGCATGACGTGCGGGGGCCTGGCGGCCTCCGTGAGCAGCGGCTGCGACCAGTGCTTCGCCCTGTCCGGGCCGCCGGCGGGCGGGAGCGTGCCCCTGTCCGGCATGAGGACGACGTTGCCGGGCTTCAGGTCGAGGTGCATGATGCCGTGGCCGTGCATGTGGGTCACCGCCCGGAGGATCTGCCGCATGATGTCCTTCACGTGCTCTCCGTGGATGGGCTCCATCTCCCTCCGGTGCGCGGAGACCATGCGCGAGAGGTCGCCCCCCGCGCAGAAGTCCATGACCAGGTGCCACGCGTCGTCGTCCTTCCAGTGCCCATAGAGCCGCACGATGTTGGGGTGATCCATCTGGCTCATGCGCTCTATCTCCTTGCTCGCGTCGTCCTGGACGCCGCTCCGGTCGATCGTCTTGATCGCCCGCTGCAGGCCGGTCTCCTTGTGGCGCGCCAGGTAGACCCGCCCAAAAGTTCCCTCGCCGAGCTGCTTCCCGAGCTCGTAGTCGTCCGCGCCTATCTCGGACGGCTTGGGCGGCGACAGCGCCTCCGAGTACCGCTGGTAGACGCTCTGCAGCGCCTCCCAGAAGACCTCGTTGAAGATGCCCTGCGGCAGTGCCAGGTCCGGCGACGGCCAGTCCAACTGAGAGTCGGTGCCTGAAGGGGCCCTGGGACACACAAATAAATACACACAAATAAAAAGATTCCCCATATTTTCTGATATTTTCTGGGTTTTTGTCTTCCCCCCCACTTCCCATATTTTCCCATATTTTCTGGGGGATCGACGATTAATTGTGTCTGTGTGCTTTTCTTCCCTCCTGAGTGCCATCGGTCCTGCAGTAGTACACGGACCCCTTGGAGGACCGCTTCTCCTGCCAGCCGGCCGGGAGCTCCACGCCGCGCCGCCGCATCTCCTGCGTCGCCCTCCGCTTCAGCTCGTAGGCGTTGCCGGAGGCGCCGAGGCGGTCGTCCAGGGCCCTGCCCACGTCGAGCATCGCTGCCAGCGACAGCGCGTCCAGGCAGGTCACCTCGCCGTGCTGGTCGTCGAACTCCACCACGAGGTCCGAGAAGCTCTCGAAGAGCTGGTGCGCCTCCTTCTCCACCTTGCCCTCCATGGTGCTGCGGATCCACTCCAGCTGGACCTTCCCGGGCGTCAACCTCGCCCGGACCCTCTTCTCAAACTCCTCCCTCTTCAGGGGCGAGCTCCTCGCGTGCAGGGTGATCTCGCCCCTCTCCATGTCCACGTGCGTGATGTGAGTGGGCGACCAGCACTTGTACGTCCTGCTGAAGTAGTCCACCTCCTCGCCGACCCTGGGAGCCACATGCCTGTCCGCGGCGGACTTCGGCACCCGGTTCTTCCTCGCGTCGGCCTTCGGCATTCCTGCCTCGCCTCCAGGCTGGGCGTCGGGACCGGTGCCGCGCGGGCTGGCCGCAGGTGCGCGGGGCTCTTGAGCCACAGTGGCCACGGAGTCGCCGACGATCATCCTTCTACCTCCTCCGACCCGACCTCTGCCGATCATTCTGACGATGGCGACCTCCTCGGCTGTCGGCAGTTCCAGCCCCGCGGGCGCAGCGGGAAAGCTAGGGGGCCACATGCGGACGCTACCCCTACCCCCCCCCCCCGATTTCAGTGGGGAGGGTGGGGTTCCCTTCGCTCGGGAGCTCCTCCTCCTCCTCCTCCTCCTCCTCCTCCTCCTCCTCCTCCTGGTAGCACTGGTAGCACTGTAAAGCGTGTCCGTGCGAGCACAGAATACACGCGCCTAGTAAAAGATGCGGCCCAGCCCCGAAAAATGGGACCCCCTGAACATAGCACCGCCCACCTTGCGCCCGTAAGCTCCTCACTATCAAGGGGGGCTGGGCACGACATCAACCTCGCCTTCCAGGCGAGGGCCCTCCAACGGGGTTCAAAACCGACGGGCTGGCATAACCCAGAATTGCCGGATGAGCCCACCACGGGGATTTAAAATCACGGTATGGCCGTCCAGACCGTTACGAGTCCCGTCGCAGTCACCCCAGGTGAGTGACTCTGGAGAAGGTGAGGGCGGTCCCTGGCACACATCCTCGCTGCAGCTTCCGAAGCTCACTGCTGACGCGGGGGGGGGCACTCGCCCCTGCCAGGGAGCCACCTCTTGTTTGCTGCCTTACTCGGTCCTGTTCCGTGAGGCAGAGCTGCAGGAGTTTTGTGCCCCTCCCCATGCTATACCCCCCACAGAGGTTACACAACACAATTGGCATGTTACTCCCATCAATCCACCCCATGCTTAGGGAATGGTGAAGGGCTCGGCGCTTGTTAATTGCCTCTGTGAGGGAAGGGGGGTACTCTTGTGAGCAAGCCCTCCTGCATTGAGGAGTGACCTTTTTCAAACATGTGGTACATCGATAACCCTTGCCAGTCCAAGTGGGCGAGTGGGTAGAAACAAACGGGCGGGGTGGAGGGGATCAACCTTGGACAAGGGACCAAAATACTCACGCGAGGGGGGCCAGCTGGCCAGAACCCTCCCTGCACCTGTCACGAGCTCGACATATTCTTTCAGGGCCAACGTGCAGTCCGCAAGGGAACCGGGATTAATGTCGTGCTTCCCGGCGGCCTCCTTTGCTAGAGTGTCCGCCATCCGATTTCCTAGGATTCGATATCGGTCAGAATCGCTAACCGCATCTTCAACGTTGCGGTGGGCTTTGACACGTGAGAGCAACAGCCATGGCCCTGGCGTGGCATGCGCCAGAACCCTCCAATAATGACTAAAGAGGGTGGTGCCCTTGAGGCTGAGAGCCGGCTGAGAAACTCCGCGGAAAAGAGCCTTGCAGTCCACCGCAAACTCTGGGGACTGCTCCAGATCAGAATGGAGCCCCGCCGCTACGAGTCCAGAGTGCTCACAATGGACAGCATGCTGAGGTAGCACTCGGGGCTGCGGGGACGACACGGCGCGGAGAAGGTTGCCATCATCATCTATCTGGCACGCTGCCAGGCCCTCCCAAGGTCAAACTGAAATTTATCACAGGGCCCCTCCCCATCTCTATAAAAGAATTCCCAATCAACCACCGGTGGGTCGATATCGGGGGCTGCCAACCACAGATGCGCGAAAAGTGGGTGGCTGGGACCTGCTGCAACTGCTCGCTCGACAAATTTCCCCAGCTCCTGGTCTCGAAGGGGGGCGCAACGAGGGCACTCCCACAGACGATGAAAAGGAGTGTCCAAAGATCCATTGTTGCAGTAGGGGCAACGAGTGGGAATGTCATACCCCCACTTAGCCAACGAGGTGGCTGTGACTAAACAGTCCCCTAAAAGACCATGCACACAGGCCATCTCTCGAGTGCTTAGCTGCTTACCTACCTGCTTTAACACTCGACAAATCTGGGTCCTCCACAAACCCCGAGTGAGCAGTTCCTGCCCATAGGGGTGGGTGTCAGCACCAAGCTTAGATGCTATTGTGGCTAGCACGCTGCGCGACCTAATGCTGTCATTAAAGAGGGAGGTGAGCCAGTGGGGGGGAAACTGCATGAGGGAGTAGACCTGCCCATCAGGGCTCACTAAATGGGTAGCATCACGAAACGCCCATCCAGCCAGCTCCACCCACTGCAGCATCTCGGTGAGGGGCCCCCGGGATTTTCCCAGCCAAGATTTCTTGGTGGTGCTCCTGAGGTGCTCGCGCGCGTTCACGAAGGCATTCTGCAGTTCCTTGGCAGACAAGATGTCGGCGTGCCTATGCTGAAGGGGCGACGTGCCCGACAACATCCACCATTCGTGGCAATACCGACTCAAAGTACTAGCCCCCAGATCCATGGGGTCTGAATCTGGCGCAAACGCCCACCATAAGTCAACGCTGGCACCTGTGGCAGGGTGTCCAGGCAGACTTCGTGCATGCTGGCGGAGTCGAACCAACTCGGAAGGTGTATACCCATGGACCTTCCCGCCGAAAGCAAGACCTGACTGGACAGACGCACGAAAGAAACGATGCTTGATGCTCTTACCCTTGCGCGTCCCGGTGCTCAGCTTGATCGCTCGGAGCTTTCTGATGCGACCTCGTGCCTTGGCCCATCTCTGTCTCCGTGCCACTGACTTAGTTGCTTTCGCCTTCCCCGCCGAGAAGTCGATCCCCAAGTTGACAGCAGAGTGAGTTCCTGTCCCAAACAAGTCCCCCGGCAAACTTTTCCGAGCCACATCCAGCAACTTAGCCGACGAGGCAGTGGAACACACCTTCTGGAGGGCAAGGGAGAGGTTGAGCTTCTCCAGACCCTGGTACATGCGAGTGGCGAGCTCGACCATGTTGGTGACACAATCCTCTATGAGGGTGCTCCACGAGAAAAGCCCCATGTCGTCTACGTGGACCGTCGTGCCGACAGACTCCTGAGCCTGCCAAGCGCCTAGAATCTCAGGATCCTGGACTAAACGAATGAGGTAGGCCTTCGCCTCAAACGTAGCCGTGGCAGAGCCCGCTATGATGCCTTCCTCTGGCCACATCTTGTCACTCAACACTCCCTCCAGGAAAACGCGCCTGGGCCATCGATAAGATCGAATAGTCTGGGCAAGAATGTACCATGGGAAACCTGCAACACCACACTGCTCAGCTAAACCTTTATGAACAATGTGCTCGTAGAATTGCTTGACATCCCAGAATAGGGCCAAGAAGTGCATGCGAGACGTGGCAGCGTATTCGGCGCGCACAGCCTGCCTCCAGACAGTGTCCTCCACCGACCTCCCTTTGCCCATGCTGAAAGACGGCCCACCACCCATCCGAGCGTCCCAAGTCCGAAGTCGTTGTGCCGAAAAGCGGCCCTTAAGACGGGGGAACGACGGGAAGTGGCCGATAGGTCGACGTCCTGGTCCTTTGGCTTTACGAGCCAAAAGGATGATGACCTCCTGCAGCTGAGAAGGATGCACTCCGAGAGCATCCACGAGAACGAACAGCTTCGCCAAAACCAACCGGGCAGGATGGCATAGCAGAGCATAGTGTCTAGGGTGCACCCTATCTGGTTGACACGTGTTTTTCTTGAAAGCCCTGGAGACCGCTGCAACGACATCTGGATCTTCGGCCTCGGGTATTTCCATCGACGGGAGGTCCACGATCCAGGGCGGCACATCCAATGGGGTAGGGCTGGCTTTCCACGTATGCAGCCAATGCTTATATTGGTCATCAAGGTGACCTGAAAGTAAGGAAGTGTAGCCCTCAGGACCTTCTGTCACCTCAACCTCCAAATGGGGCTTCTCACGGAGATACCTGAAAATGCCTTTTGCCGGAGGCTGTAGCAAGAGCCTGGTCGCACCATGCCCTCCATGACTGCCGCTGGAGGGTCTCGGGTTTAGGAAGGGCCGTCGAAGCAAAAAGCTGGACGAAGTCTATGAACTCTTGCGACTGCTTTATCAGAAGGTCCCAGGCGCTCCTATCCAGATAAACTCGACATCTTGTTGCTATCGTTGCGGTTAGGGCGTGCCAGAAACCCATGTGCTGTAGCCAGAAAACCTTAAAAGGGGCCGCCATGACGTCCGAGGCGCACCAGAACCCGAAGAAGCCTAGCCAACGCCGTCCGAAAAGTCATGGACGTTCTCGGCGCACGGGAGGCCCTTGACGGTCGGGGCGCGCTGGGTCCTGCAGACAGCTTTCCTGCAAGGCCCTGAACTTCATGGAACCTCGAAACTAACCAATCCAAGGCCCTGTGGGGATCGTGTTTCGCGTTGGAGCGGGTCTGGAGGAGGGAGGAGGGAGAAACCGTCACCACGTGAATCCCTGAGCCTCCTCGAGGGCCCTTGGTAGGGGTGATGGTTTTCTCAAGGATTTCATCTCATGCTTTACCCATCCAGTCCTGGTAGACCTGGTTGAGCAGAGCCTCTCCTGTCTCGCGTAAAGCACCGCCGCCCGTAACAGAGTACAGCTTACCATCCTCTCCTCTCAGCTGCGCCAGGTACTCGTCCAAGCGAGCTCCCAACTCCACGTAGTCCTGCTCCTGGTCAGGGAACTGGATGGGGCCGATACCAGAGTCTGGAGGAACCGGGATAGATTTAAGCGGAACCGTAACCTCTATGTCCTGGATGTTCGCCGCCAGGGATAGGGAGACCGGTCGGTGCTGGCCCGTCGGGGCCAGGGAGTCCAAGGATAGATCTGCCACTGCATACGAGACCAAAGACGACAACATAAAGTAGTCAATATTACTCTGATCCTTTCCCGAGACATACGTTGGGCCCGTCACACTTCTGAGGACAGCATCCAAGCGGCCAATCGGGGCGGCAGAATCTAGTTCATGTGGGTCCATGTTGTAGTCCCCACCGGCAATAAACGGATAACCATGGTCAAACACATCATTGGCCAAAGTATCGAGGATCTGGAGGTTCCGGAAGCCTAGCCCGATCCCGTCTTTGAAGTAGCACGAATACACTGCAAGCACACCATACGATCGGGCCCTCAGAAAACAGCGAGTGACCCGACCAGGAACGAGCTCTGCAGACTGACGCGGCTGCAGGAAGAGGTCGAGGTGACCCCGTCCTGCGATGAGGACGCCCCCTGAGGTGCCACCTGGTGTGGACTCAGCGGGGCTCCCAAAAACTTTCCAGCCCTTTTGGATCAGGCTGGACCGAACGTCACGATACCGTCGAGGAGGCAACCTGTGCTCCTGGATAAACACAATAGTACTTGTAGTGGTAGGTAGGTAGCTCTCAGCATTCCTCCAGCATGTGCCATTCAGAGTGGTGATCACTACCTGGGGGTCCTTTGGATGGGATCGGCTCCGAGGGTTACCCCACCTCGAAGGGTGCAGCTGCTGTCCCAGAGGCTGCTGCTGCTGATGCTGGGGCCGCTCGGCCTTTGTCCTGTGCCCTACGCCCCCCGCCTTTTGGGACCAGCTTCGGCTTTCGCTTGAGAAAGTTATTCTGGACCGTCCTGGCCAATTGCTGACGTACTTCGGGCTCCAGACTGTTGATCTGGTCACAGGACTCAAAAAGTGATTCCGCATCCATAGGGTCCTCATCCACAGCCGCGAATGGGCTGTTCTGGGGCACTCCTGCGGCATCCACGGGCCTCGAGAAACTGGGTGCCCCGGAAAGGAAAGGGTTGCTCCCGGTGGCGTCGTTTGCTCCACTCGCTGCTGATTCCCCTCCTTCTCCTCCTGGGCCTCCTGCACCTCCGTCACCTGCTGCATCGGCTGCTGGGGCTGCCTCCAGGAGGGCGTTGTAGCGAGCCTCGATTGCCTGCTGGGCCTGGGGGTCGGCCACCCCCGCGACTGCAGCCTTGAGGGCATCGAGCTGCTGCTGGACGAACACGCTCTCTCCTCCCGGTGCTCCTCCGCCTCCGCCTCCTCCTCCTCCCATGCCGGCCTTGCCTGCCTGGTACTTGGCCAGGGCCTGGTCGTGGGCGCGCTGGGCGGCGGCCTTGCCGAGCTCCTCCTCCTGGAGCTGCCGGGCAAGGTCTTGGCGGCGCACGAGCAGCTCTTCGATCTCCGACTCGACCTGGATGATGGAACCCTGCACCTGCTCCACCTTCCTCCCAGCCCTCTCAAGCTCCTGCTCGGCCCTCCTGAGGGCTGTGGAGGGGTCACGGGTGTTCTCACGATGCTGCTGCTGGTGCTGCCAGGCCTGCTGCAGCAGGGCCGCAGCGTCTGGGGCCAGGTCTTCCACCTTGCCACTTCCCTGGGACACTCCCTGGAACAATCGATGCAACAGTTCATGACCCGTTTCGGACTTCTTGTTCCATCCTTTCCATCCTCCTCCACCTCCACGGCCCCACCACTGCCCACCCTTCCATTCCCCATGCTTGTTCTCAGACGGGGGAAGGGGCATCTTACAGTGGTAGCACCAGGTGTAGTGAGGAGGGTTCTTGCGGCACTTGCAATTAGGACAAACAATACTATAGGTCTGCCCATAGCCTTTCGCGCCTCCATCGGCGCCCATACTCTGACACTCCCAATCTCTATGGCGCGCGCGCGCGAGAGAGAGAGTAAGGTTTAACTAGGGATCGAAGGGCCCCTACCCTGAGTCCAGCCTCCGCTTTGAGCAGAGGTTGAGTGGGACCCCCACGGGGAGGTACACCCGTGGAGGCTTGAGCCAAAATGGCTACGGACTCCTCCTCCTCCTCCTCCTCCTCCTCCTCCTCCTCCTCCTCCTCCTCCCCAACGAAGGGAACCCCACCCTCCCTTTCCGAGATCGTGGGGGGGCAGGGGCAGCGTTCGCACGTGGCCCCCGAAAAGGCTTCTCGGCAGGTCGGAGGCCTCCCGAGCCCTCCGAGGAGCCCCCTGCCCGCTCTGCACTCCCCCCCTGCGGGGCTCGCCGCCGCTCCTCCAGCCCGACCCTGACTGAGATCCGACGCCGCAATGATGGGCCTGTGTTTTCCACCACCACCACCACCACCATAAGTTGGGGGGGAGGGGGTCCTCCTCCTCCTCCTCCTCCTCCTCCGCCTCCTCCTCCTCCTCCTCCCCTCCTCCGTCCTCCTCCTCCTCCTCGTCCGTCCTCCTCCTCCGCCTCCTCCTCCTCCCCTCCTCCTCCGCCTCCTCCGCCTCCTCCTCCTCCTCCTCCGCTCCTCCTCCTCCTCCTCCTCCTCCTCCTCCTCCTCTCCTCCTCCTCCTCCTCCTCCTCCTCCTCCTCCTCCCCCTCCCCCTCCCCCTCCCCCTCCAACTTATGGTGGTGGTGGTGGAAAACAGGCCCATCATCGCAAAACAAACTCCACATCATGACAAATCACGGCCAGAGCCCTGGAAGCCAGCTTTCTGCGCCGCTTTTCGGGCCAGATGGATCTGTGAGGGCCCCGGGGCCCGCGATCGAGCGAGAACGCCTGGTTCGAAATAGAATGAGACGCCAGGATCTCAGGGCCTGCCGATAGTTCTAACGATGAGTCGGATCGAAATTAGTCGGATCGGCGGAAATCGGCGGCCAAGTCGGGAGAAGTCGAATGGGCGGAAATCGGCAGCCTCCGTTGAAAAATCGAAGCCCGAATGGGAATCGGAATCCGAAGCCTAATCGAATCGGCATCGGAAGCCATCGAAATCGAATCGAGTCGGAGGAGTCGAGATGAGCCCTGAGATGCAGGATGGGGTCGGACGATTGCACCGCATCGGCCATGCGGCGCGATCCTCCGCCTCCATCTGGTCGGACCCCATCTTGGAGGCCCAGGGACGATGGCCGATGCCTGTCCTCACCGGCGTGGCCTGGGCCTCACTGGCCGACGTACTCCCCTAGATGGGGATATAGGCTGTTTCCTTCGAGTTTCGAGGGGCATATCCCCAACTGGAGTGGTGAGATGGTGGGGCTTTGGATTGGGATGGAGGTAGTGGGGAAACCAAAAGATACCGATACCGCTACTCGCCAGACCTCTCCCGGGGCGCGTTCTGACCAGAATTTCGAGGCACCGAGGCAAGTGTAGCGGTGTGGGTACCTTCTCCTCCTCTGAGATAGGAATCGGTTAAACTATATTCAGGGACCCAGACCCCCGACGCCATGACTTGTCCCAACAATCCTGTGGTGTTGGGTCTTCATTTTGAAGAGACAGCGCCCCG